ACCCCCCATTTCCGGCTCCTCCCCGACTTTTGGGACACCCTGTATATTTTTATTCGTAATAAAATAGCACTTGTTTAGAGGAACTCATCGACCTAGAATATACATATAATATAATATTATATTATATTATATTGTTTAAAATCGTTTAAAAATCGATATTTTTTAATAATTTTATTCTTCGATGTTTGTTCCTTATATTCTGTGTTGATTATCTTGAATTTCAATAATAATCAAGTTCTTGTTAATGACTCTTATCGTTGAATATTTTAGAATAACTTATTTCTGTTCCCTGATCAAAATAAAAGTGAAAATAACGATAAACGTTTGTTACAGCCTCCGACCCGCGACTGTGGTCCCGCGAAGACGTGGCGACGTTTCTCCGATGGGCCGAACGAGAATTCGACCTACCCCAATTCGACATGGACATGTTCCAAATGAACGGAAAGGCTCTTTGCTTATTGACAAAGGCCGACTTGGGAGAAAGATGCCCAGGCGCGGGCGACGTGTTGCACAACGTGCTTTCGATGCTTGCCAGGGACTTTAATCAGCTTCAAAGGTGCCTTCCCAGTAGTCCCGTGACACCTACCAGACCCTCCGCGTATCCTCTCAGCCCTCATTCTCATCCACCCACTCCCACCTGGACGGAGAACCCGTACACCGCGAACTTAGCCTCGTTAATGTCCGCGAATTCGGTGACATTATCACCTGCGCCGTCGGTGGACAGTCAAGCCGGTTCACCAGGACACACGGAGGGCACTCAAAGTCAAGTTTACAAGAGCGACTCCGACGAGGATAACCAACAAGCGGCTACCGGAAGCCCGCCAGCCACGCCGACCGCTTTAGCAGCGCAAAGGCTAAGCGAAGTTTGCGTTAAGGATCAACCAAGTCCCACGTTAACACAGCCAATGATGCCTCTGACGCCCGGTGCCTTCAGGACGAATCCTGCCAACGCGAGGGAATTTTTCCCAAACGATTCGCCCGAACCCAATACAAGTGAGTACTCGTTTCACTCATCCTGCTTTCTGTTCTCTGGTTTTCTTTCAGCTTTTACGATTTTAAACCAGAGTTAGGGGGACACGTTCGTCGCGTTGCCTGGGCCAGACCACTGTAACATGCTCAAGAAATCGGTTTTTGTTGTTGTTGTATTTTATACAAAATATACAGGATGTCGCATAATTAGTGTAAGCACCATCCGACATTTTTTGCAAAGGAAACTGTCGTTCAGAATCGTCTTACAATTAGCTACTCTCCGTTTCCAGTTCTTACAGTAATTCTGAGACACCCTTGTATATTTCAGAATTTTTTGTCAAAATTTGAGAAAAATCTCTTTATAATTGCTGGAGTTACTGTCTCGGCCATTTAGACTATCGAAACTTTAACGAGAAACGACATTGTCAAATCTGACACGAAATCAATGTTCACCTTAAAATTCACCTTGAAAACATTAAAAAATTAATTTCCACGCCTAATGCATATTAATAAAAACAGTTTACATATATTTAATTGTTATAAACGTAGTACTACATATTATGAATTGTACTATGTTAATTTAATTATAAGCAGTTTAATCGTATGTAAGAAGATGTTACAATTTGAAAACATTTTTTTTTTTCTTTCAGATGGTAGACTTTTGTGGGATTTTCTTCAACAACTTCTAAACGACCCTTCGCAACGATACACACACTACATCGCGTGGAAAAGTCGGGAAACGGGTGTGTTCAAAATTGTCGACCCTCCCGGCCTAGCGAGGCTCTGGGGCATCCAGAAGAATCATCTTTCCATGAATTACGACAAAATGAGTAGAGCCCTTCGGTACTACTATCGTGTCAATATCCTACGAAAGGTCCAAGGAGAACGGCACTGTTACCAGTGAGTTTCTATGAAACATCTTCTTACTTTTAGTTGGACTGTAGACCTTATTTCAATGACATTTTTTTTTTTATATATTACAAATACATGCAAATAATTCTTGTCTTAATTCTTGTATATTAGCACTTGTATATTAGCGCTGTAAATATGAAGCTACGAAACTAAAACGTTTAAAATGATATTACAAAAATATTGTAATTAGAAAAACTAGCTTCATATTTACCGGGCTGATATATTGGGTTGTGTCCGAAAAGTTTCTTTCGCTTTATTAATAAGTAATACATGCACAATATTTTATGGTTCATGTTACAATTACTGAATTGTGCACGATTCATGTTGCTCCATTACTGTTACAACATAAATATCTACGAAATTAGATTGTCTATTTATATAAACACGATCACGTAAAATAATTGAGTTGCAACTCGCGAAAGAAACTTTTGGGACAACCCTAGTATTGAGTCTACCGGAAAGTTCTGTCCGTTTTTAAAATGACACAAAATAATAAATTCCTCATACCTTTGAATAAATTTTATTGAATAATATAATTTTGATCATTATTTATGACATCTTGCCAGCATGATTGCAATTTGTATATCGTTTTTCATGAATATTCGCATACTTGTTAAAAACTTGTTATAACCGGAACGGACAGAACTTTCCGGTAGACCTGATACATGCAAATCATTAAGATGTAAAAAGAATCATTGAAATTGGGACCACCCTAGTGTCCGTAGTCACTGAAAAAGTTGAAAGGCTATCTAAGAATGTGTAAACATAGTTTCGCCATTACCATGGGTGAAAGCAGAACTTATTTAAAAGTACGTAATGTCTTTGTGTGTAGGTTTCTGCGAAATCCGACAGAACTGAAGAATATAAAGAACATATCTTTGCTGCGTCAGCAAATGCGGATAAAGTCGGAGCCGGAAGAAGAAGGAGGAAGTGGCGCCGAGCCGGAAATCGATATGCCGACAGACCTCTCGATGTCCAGCATGAGTCAGCCATCCAACGAGCAACAGCAACAACAGCAACCTCTACCTCTTCACGATCCGCCTACGAAATACAGAAGTCACGCGTACAATCTCGTAAAAACCAATCAAGAGTCGGAGGACAGGAAGTGACGCGAAACCTAGTGCCGATTTGATTGTGCGTTTTAAATGCCGACAGTGTCGATAGACCGTTTCACCGCAACGCATCCTCGTCGCTCGTTCGCGAACAGAAATGCGATTTCTAGAAAATCTCTTCGATGATGAAATCTGCTTATGAAGCGTATCGAGGAGAACAACCGCGAAAGAAACTTCTTTCTACTGTCTGCCATCAGGAAATGATTTCCAAGGGATATTTATTATCATTCCGAAATGACAGAATCTGTTGGTTTCTACATCGCTGCCGATCAAACGACTAGATAGATACGAAATTAGCGAAGAAACAAATCCACGGACACGAAAGAAATGAATTGCAGACGTTTCCGGAACGATATAAAAAAAGACTGATGAAAAGTACATTCTACAAAGGTACGGATCAACCTGCACTATAGCGCCGAGGAGAAAAATTGAAACAGAAATATGTCTTCTACTACTGTGCCTCGTCGATGACCAATCGACTGGTTTCAACCCTTTGCGGACGATCGACGCATATGTACGTTCTTCCGTTGATCCTGTACGGATAGGTGAACGCCTATCAGCGTTCAGAGTGTACACAGGGTAGTTTATCAGATATTAACACCTATGTTTACGTCCCTTATCATGCATTGCGAAAAATGTTTAAGATATAGTTGAAGTGGTTTCGAGGCACATTCTGTTGTTATTAGTATAATATCCGCGCCTCCCATACCCAACAATAAGGAGTCAAACGAGAACACGAAACGTATAGTCGCTGGAAGGGATCTTGCGAGGTCGTAAACCGAAACAGTAGTTATTGCTTTATTGGCCCAGGTAACTGACCCGTAGGACGACAGGGGTGTCGCGGCTCTAAAGTATACATGCCACATTTTACACCCACGGGCCCCAAGACTTGATGTTTGCTACGCGGATTTTTCCAAATTGGAAAAACCGAAAACTTTATAAAACGAAATAGTCTTATGGTAATCGATTCATGCATTACAGAATTATGTGTGAACATACGTAAGAAGAAAAAAGTTATTGAAATATGAACATCCTAATTCTGATATCATACGGCCCTGAACGAAAAGTCTAGCTCTGTCCTCGTCTAAAAAGGTGTCAGATTTAGAGAAAACGTTAATATCATTCATACGTTCTCCACGCATTCACCTACAAATACAAACTACTACCAGAATGTGTCCAACTTGAAATCGTTTTAATTTTATTTTAATCATTTTTCGCTATGCATGATAATATTGATATAAACCGAGGTGGTTATATCCGGTGAACAATCCTGTACATTATCCATCCAACGCGTAACGTGGATGTTGCTCCAAAATGGACGTCTGCGAAGGGTTAATTATCAGTCGATTCTTCAAGCGCTGATCGATTTTGCTTGAACGTTAATATCATCTCTCTATGACGTTCGATTTTCAACCGATTTTGAATCGGCTCGAGGACCACCTCGAGTCCTTCCGATGATTGACTCCTACGGCCTCGCTTCGGAGAGCTCAGGAATCGGTCGTCATCCTGCAATCCTGGAGGATGCTTCAGTGAAGCTGAACTTTCGCGGATATTCCGCCATCGGTTTTTCCATCCCTTGTGTGCGCAAGACACGTGTGCGAGTGTGGAACGATATTCACTTCTACAACGAACTACTTTAGAAAGATATTTGAGGCTTTCACAGCCCAGTCTTCATAGTTGATACTAACCGAGGCTCCCGAGATCTGAGTCGTGTCCTTTGAATAAGATACTCCGACGTTTTGTCAGCATTACGACTAAAGTCGTAAGATTTAATTAAAATCCTTTAGGAGTATCTTATTCAAAGACATAGCTTGGACTCGAAAGCATCAGTTAGTATCGAGCATACCTTAGAAAGGCTTATAAAGCGTTGCCGACGAACGTACAAAACGGTGTTCGGGAAACGATCGAGGTATTTCATTCCAAAGTTATTCTGTGATGTAAAGTTTAGCTTGAAAGTAAATTTTCCGGAGTGAACTATGCTTAGTTATGTAACTAGAGATTGAGATTTATCGAAAGTTTTTTATTCGAACGAAAAGAGAAACTGTTATTAAATGTCTTCGCGTAGAGTCGAGAAATTGATGTAATATAAACTGTGCAGAACAAGCAATCCTACTTCGATTCTTTTACGAGGATCCTCCGTTGCGCGAGAGGCGAAGAGATCCACCCTGTAAATACCTGGATTCGATAAAACTTCAGAACCAATTTCCCGTTGCGCCACCTCAGTTGTGCCAATTTAATCGTCGGTAATTTATGTGCAAATATACGTTTAGTCGAATGTTCTGTGAAAACAACAAACAAACGAAAAAAAAAAAAGCAAGAGGGAGAAAGGTAAAACGTCACCAACGTTTATGGAACTCTCGAAAGGACAATGACCGTATCCCTAAATCGTAATTATCTATTAATAAGTTGACGAACTATAAAATGAAAAGAAGTATAGTGAACTCTGTTAAGTAAACGAAAACGCGAAAGAGTTTTATGGAATTCGGGGCCAGAGTTATATATATATATATATATAGATACATGTAGATTTATGTGTAAATAAATCTCTCTCTTTCTCTTTCTCTCTCTCCCTGAATATATATATATATATATATATATATTTTTTTTACTACCGAAGAGAAATTTATATGCAAAATTTCTATGTTCGTTGTCGATGGGATTGTGGCTCACATTCCTCGCCAACAGACCGTAGACTTTCAAGAGAAAATGAAGAAAAGATCACCTGTTTAGGGACCGAAGGCGTGCGTACGATTAGAAACAGGTTTTAAGATCGTATTTTTGCATAAGACTCGAAGCGTAAAAGGGGGGAAAAAATAATGTATGAATGTCGTTACTATGAGCGAACGAGTATGCGTACGATTGCATGTGTATGAATGAGAGAGAGTAGGAGAGACGAAAAGTGGGATTAAAACTGAAAAAATGAGAATTGTATTAGCGAGCAAGGGATTTATAAATGGAAAACTTTGTACAGTAATCTGCGGATGAATGAAACGAAATCGGGTCCTCGCCGTTTCAGTTATCCAGGGAGGGATGTCTTTTGTTTTTAATCTCGGATCGAAGAGCTACGCACATACCGTCCGTCGAGGAGAGTGAACGGAATACACCAAGCGTGAACGAAATAAGCATATAAATAACGATGGTGATAAGTACGTTACAGTTAACCGGGGAAAAGTCGTTTCAGTTATCCGGAAACTACTGTATTTGGCTATTTGTACACTGTGATCTCTGTGAAATTTTTATCATAACGTATACAGATACATAGGAAAACTTTTGTTTCGTGTATATAATTTTCATGAGAGAATGATTTATAATAATTATAAATATATTAATAACCTCTCCCTTTGCCGTACACAACACACACAGTGAGAAATTCGATTTCTAAAGACTTATGTTTTGATAATGTATCGAAAGAAACATGTAATGTTTATATTATAACATTTTAGAATTATTTATTGGCAAAGTAGGAACTTGTACATCAGTTCTCATACGTTTTAAACAGGCATTAAATACTAACGTAAATTTTGTACTCGTTGCCAATGAATATTTCCAAAAATACTATCGTACTAAAGAAATCTTCATTTGGAATGTTACATATCCTCGGAAATATGTTATATATGTTACACATGCATGTGTGCACGTGGAGTTTTATGGACCAGAGCAGCGCCGATACCGTTTGCGCAGGATGTTATCGCTCAAGATATTATTTTCAGTCGGTGTGTGATTCGTCTGCGCTATCTCTAAAGGTTCGATGCTACTAAGAACCATTTTATTCCCCAACACTTACAGACTATCGCCTTTCCGATTTACCGATAGAATTTATAGCCCATTTCTTTTTGCACATTCTGTATAAAATAAAACCTGTACAATTTTAGGAGAATATCGATCGTTTATCGTGTAACTCATTGCAAATGAATGAGCAATGTGTAAATAGAGATTTATTTACTTATTAAGCTAATCTCTAGTGTCAATTTATTATCCCCATCAAAAATAACAAGGTAACAGAAATACTGATAAACCTCCATTGTGTGAATATTCTATTCTATTATATGAACCGTATATTTTCTATCAGAATATTATATGTGCATGCCCGTAATTAGAATGCATACAAAATTAAATTTCAACACTGCTGTAATGTGATAACAAATGCCAGGTTGAAGATAAAAGACGAGACACCGAAGGATTGAATTTTTGCTACCTAAAATAATAGTCGAAGAAAATGAGGAACTAGGATTAACATTAGAACTATCATGCTGATTAATTTGATCCATATATGTAGAATTTATTTTTAAAGCTACTTAATTATTAGCAAAGATTTTATTATAATTTTTTGTGACAATTGTTCAAATAAGGAACTAGTTATATTGATAAAATGATTTGCTCTTCCTTCCTCAAAGATATATTTTAAAGATATAACAATATATAGAATAAGTATACTTTCATTGCAGTCATAATATAAAATATGACGTAATATGGTAATTTATACAGAAAATTTTGACTTTTAGATACTAATACAGTAATACATTTCTGTATTTGATCAGACATATTAATTATCAAAAATAATTATCGGTGTATTTTCCAAATTCCAATAAATAAAACCAAGTAACCAAATCATTGTGGATTAAATTAAGATATAAGTTATTACAAAGTTTTAAAGTCTAGAATTTCAATGAAAAATGATCTAGTATTCAACAATGGTAAGCTTTCTTGCAGAACTCACTATAATGGATATACATATACAGGGTGTCCCAAAACTCGGGAAGGAGCCGGAAATGGGGGGTAGCTGAGACGATTCTGAACAACAATTTCCTTTGCAAAAATGTCGGATGGGGCTTCGTTAAGGAGATATTAAGCGAAAACCCCGACCAATCAGAGCGCGTGTAGACCGTTGGAGCGGCTGCGGTAGCGTAGCGTGGTGATCCGACATTTTTGCAAAGGAAATTGTTGTTCAGAATCGTCTCAGCTACCCCCCATTTCCGGCTCCTCCCCGACTTTTGGGACACCCTGTATATCACTTTGTAGTATCATTATCAAGTGTAGCGAACACGAACCGCGTGGTTCCGGCAACACATTGTTGTGATCGATGTGTCAAAAACTTTCATGTTCAGCGTTTCAAGTAACAACGAATTCAATCGAACGTTTTTTAGTAATATTTTACATTTGGTGTATATGAATATCATATTTGTCTCTTGATAATTTATTTGTATGTTGTTGGAATTTTAATATAACCTCTGTAGTTCATAAGTTAGTAAGAATTATGGAGATAAACCCATTAAGTATAATTCTTGTAAAAAGTGATAGCAAGGGTGACAGACTACTATTTCGTTACCCATACGTAGCAAAACATACACGAGATTCTAATCAGTGTACTAAAAGGAAGAATCCTTATTCTTTGACTATCACAGAAGATTTGTTGCAGGTCAGTTTTATGCAACATTATAGTATTGTAATGCTTATTCGGCATATAGTAAAATTACTACCGTGAAGTATAAATCTATGTTATAAATATTTCCTGTACGCATTTCTTAATATGCTTGCATTGTCGAGTAAGATAATGTGATGTTTAATTAACTTCATCGACAGTCCTTACCTTTTCTGACTTCTAATATAAGTAATGGAAACTTAACTGGAGTAACCGATGAAGTCCTGTCAACGTTATTCGCTGTTAAACCAGAATTATGCGAACAAAAATTTGAATTAAAAGTAAACGACGTTCGCTTTGTTGGACATCCAACTTTAGTTCCATCTCGTGGATTAAAGGAAGTTAATTCTTCTATGCTTTTCAATATAGTCTTTGCTCTCCAAGCACAAGCAAGTCATTCTATAGTAAAATGTTATTACGATTTGAGCAGAAGGTTTGTTATATATTATGCTTATAAAAATATATAACACATTGTAGGACTCACATATTATTTTGTTTAGATTAGGCATAGCTTTGAGGCACGAAGAAAAGAGATGTGGATTCGTAATGGAAGAAATAAAAATGATGGTTTCGACTCATGATGAAGTTGCTACTAGGTATAGGAAATTATAGTTTGTTACTCTTTTGGCAAATTAATAATTAGAATTCTTTAATATATATTTCTAGATCAGAAGGTGAAAGTGACTGCGATGAATCACCCTATGAATTAATATTACAAAGAAGTTTGCTCGCACGTGACTTAAAGTCTGTATTTAGTAGCCTCAGCACTTCTGGTATAATTAACATTATGATTAATAAATGGATTCAAGTACGTTTTTGTCTCCCACAAAAAGTTCATCAATCTCATAAGAAAGGATTTGTTATTAATCCTGAAATAATAGACAGGCCAGTGTTAAAGTAATATTTAAACTTTAAAGTAATGTATTAAACATTAAATTTCATTGCAGGTGTTTGAATAGCTTAAGACCCTATCATGGTTTGCTGTTACTTATCGAACCTCTACATTTATTGGACACACTTCCGATAGATTCTTCTCCAGCATTGAAACGTCTTATTCAAATGTATAGTCCACTAAAAAGTCTACAAACTTTAGCTGCTGATTCTGATCTTACGCTTACTCAAGTTTTTCAATTAACTGGTCATTTAGTATATTGGGCCAAAGCTACTATAATTTATCCTCTTTGTGAAAGCAATGTTTACGTTGTATCACCGGATGCTGTCATAACAAATCAATTATTAGAAGCATTTTCTGACGAATTTCCAGGACTCTGTCTTTTGCAAGTACGTACGAAAAAGTTATTCGTATTTATTCAGTATTGTTCATATCGGATATAAAAACAAATTGTAATTGCAACTTTGCCTAGGTTATTAGCGATTTTTCGTTACCAACATCAATAAGTCAAAAATTAAATCCTTTGAATCAATCGCAGCAACAAACACAATTAGTGAAAATAGTTATATGGTTGTTAAAAAATCATTTACTTTTACAATTGCATACATATGTACAGTACATGCCAACTGTGCATGGTCGAGCACTACTGGTAAGTTTAAAAAATACTTTTCTAGAATTTACGAACTACAAAATCTATTTTCCAAAGGATACAAAGGATGAAATGAATCACAATATAAATGAAATGACAGAAAGTAGCAACACGTTGAATTTGAATGATGCTCCCAAAGGAATTCCAACCAATATCAAAGAAGAGTTATCGATGAATCTTCACAAAGAAAATGGAATCTATAATTATCAATCTGAAGATTATGATATTCCTTCTGATGATAGGAAATTGCTTGAGAGATTATGTCGTATTGGTTACTTCAACGGAGGACATCATTTGGAAGAAATTATGTACTTGGAAAATATTCGCAGGTCTCAATTGTTACAAATTTTAGATAAATTTCGAGATGTATTGATCACGTCTGAATGTGAAGATCCTGCTATAGCCCTATTTTATAGTCAATTTGATTCATAATATTTTAATTTTAGTTTTATCATTAAATTGTGTGTAAATTATATTTTGTAAATATTAATTTAGAAAAATTAGGACATTGTATAAAAAAAATTAAAAGTTTAAGTCGTATTGGATTAAACTGAAGAAATTCGAGTTTGATATGCCAATTTTTTAATGCCCTAATAAATTTTCACAAATAAAAAAAAATCATCAGAAAGTATGTATTTTAGATTATAGTAAATTGTAGTTTTGTATTGAGATTAAGTTAGTGTAATGCCAATGTGGTTGGCAATACTGATGTACAAATTACATTTCATTTGCTAAGAGTTGTATTGTAAACTGAAATGGAAAGCAACTACCCCTCATGAACAATGTCTATGCTATATACGAAATTTCATTTGTGGGAGTGAACTCATGAGATTCATGAGACATCAAGTTATTCATTCTTCCTTTATATCATTATTCTATATTAACTGTGTAACACTTCATAATTATATCCACATGTGTGTATAACATGTGTAATACATGTATATATGCACAATGATTGTGTTTGTGTAGTTTTAGTATTGTTACGACGAATAGTCTTGTTTCATAAATAAACAATTATTTTTAAATAAAAGAGATATATTATACATTTTGAGATAACGTTCAGAAACAGTACAACAGAAGTCCATACGATACTCATTATTACTCATTCGAAAAACTTCACTATCGTAGTTGTAAAAACGCATATGAGGATACTGTATCTCGTTTAACAATATTTTTTCGTTAACACTTAGACGACGGGACGCGTAAAGATATTACGTATTAGATGAGTACGACATTATCAATGATATACATATTTTTCTCTATATATGCATACATTTTCCGGTACGAGGACATCCAACAAGAAAATGAATATACTTAATTAGTATTCTGGAAAATCGATGTGTAATAACGTCGTCTATATGTTAACAGCAAGAATCACTATGACCAAGTGTACATACACACAGATGTAAGAGAATAGATACTAAAAATATGTATAGTATATGGAAGAAGAGATTTAATATAATTTTAGAATCTTTCAGAACGTTTGATGTCATCGTTATTTTAAATATTTACAATATAATAACATAGAAACTTCTTTTTTTTTTTTTATCGAAACTGAACTTTTAAATAAAGTATGTCTTTCGATTCATTATATTCTTCATAAACCTACGCTTTAACATTAATGTAATGTCAAATTAAATTAGAATACATGAAAATTTCCTATGTTACAAACTCATAAATACAGTCATGAACACAGATTTAACAGAAATATGTTTCAACACCATTGAAACACTTATTTTATTTCTTGTACTCATTGTCCTATTTTAACGTTGTATGTGTTATCATAGTTTTTCCCGCGGATAACTTTGCATTCTTTTCAATTTTTTAAGAGCACATTTTGCTGCAGTACATTTCGCAATTCTATAATTTCTTCCAATACCTTTGAAAGAACCTTTACTAAAAACATCAACCGTAACTCTAACTCTACGTCCATCGGCTAATTTTTCTGGTTTTCCAAATTTCGCCGTTTCAGGTTCAAGTTCCAATAATTCACGAATTGGAGATTTGGGAACGTTAGTGCTGAATTGTTCTGTAATAATACAATATATGTAGTTCTATTTGTTTTCGTGGAAAATGAACATACAAATAGAGCAAGAAATTTAATTACCAATTTCAGTTTTCATTATAGCGTAATAAACACCCCATACTGCATCCAAAGACATACCACTGTCCAAATAAATTGCACCAGCTAATGATTCAAACACATCACCTAGTGCTTTTGGTACCTCGACATCTTCAGCTTCTTCGCACTCTTCTTCTCCAATTAAATAGTACTAATGGAAGATGTATAGTAATTAAATATACTTATAAAAGAAATATAATATAAAATCTTTAAGCTCGGTGAAAAGATTCGTTTAAACAAACATTTTACCTCTTCGCTAATAGAATGCCCATTTTCTTCTTGAATTCTAACAAAACGATTTATAACAGCACTTAAACCAGGAGAAAGATGTCGGAAATATTTATGAAATCCACATCTAACTGCTAAAGAAGCAAATATAGTATTGTTAACTAAAGCTGATCGCAAATCTGTTAAAGCACCTGGCGAATGTTGTCGAGCATCCTCATATAAATGTCTTGTTATTAAATAATCTAAAATTATAAATTATTTTACACAATTCTAACCAATATAACATAAAATATAATAAAATGCAATAAATTTAGATTATTTATTACCTAAAACTGCATCCCCGAGGAATTCTAAACGTTGGTAACAATCCGTTAATCTATTGGGTTGATATGAAGCATGAGTAAATGCTTGTAATAAGTAACTAATGTCATGAAATTTATATCCAATACTTTTTTCTAATTCGTCATATCCATCAAGCATTAATTTCAACTCATGTTCTGGATCAGAAATATGACGAAGTAGGGGATTCGGTGGTTCTTCCAATGTTCCATAACGAATCTGTAATAACATACTTTTCTTAAAGCATCCTTCGATGTCGTAATTAATTTGTCAAAACGTTTTCGATTAAGATTAGTTGTAATGACCTGCGTCCATGTTGTCTGGGCTTGATCATTTGTTCCCTTTATGTACGGTGTACTACCGGGAATTCTTTCCATCGGTTCTGTTTCTTGTACCAAACAAACTTCTTTTGTGGGTAAAACGTGTATCCCTAACCAGGCCATAAAAAGTAATGCACCTCTAGGACCACAAGCAATTAAGTATGCTCCAATTAATGCCTCCACACAATCTGCGATACTTTTATCGGGAATGCTATGTTGAGTAATTAAATTGTAAGGTATGAAACAACGTAAGTTGTCTAAATTATTTGAAAGTGTAGTTTCATTACGGTCAAGTTCGCTCTTCATGATGCCCAATTTTTGTTCTGTTTCTTTAACAAGTTGAGTTATTTCAGTAGGATTTACAGCTTGTAATGTTGGTAAGTCAGCTTGGTTCCAAAGTGCTGAAGGTATGCCAGATTCGATTAATGCTTGTTCAAGTTCTTTTGGAACATAGTAACAAGGAGGTAACCAATTATCGTGTGGTTCGAACTTTGTCGCTATCATGCTTTCACCTAACATTTTTTGTCTTCCTAATCTGTACAAATTTATGTTGCTGACCTAAAAGATTTCAATGTTATTAGACAAAACCAACTACTACTGTATTTAAATAAAACTGTGCACAGTTGTTTTTATTCAATATTAATCAATATAATATTAATATCATGTAATTGTACTTAAAAAGATAACGAATATTTTAAACTTTTGATACCTGTTTAGATCTTAAGTGACTAAGTTTGCCTTCGTGAATATTGTCATATGTACAATATAAGTAAGTAGTTATAGCATATTTTAAAAAAGAATCTCCAATAGTTTCTAACCGTTCTAAATTAATACCATCGTTTGCATTAGACATAGTTAAAGCTTGCAAAATTAAACTGGGACTTGGTCCTGCATGATTTTTTAATTCTGGTTGAAAATCAAAACTAAAGAGATTGCTGTCCAGCTGATATGTCGGTCTCAATTTGTCAGAATTCTTTTTTATTAATTGTGAGCTACGATTAGCATTTAATATTTCCTTACTCAATTTGTTAACAATTGTTTCTATATAAGCTTTATGATTATAATTCAGCTTACTGTCTTCAGATTGTGAATTGCACAAATTCTTTCTTTTAATTGCAATCTCAGTATTGTGAGATATAAAAGATCCATTTTCCATTATTTCGCATTTCCTTATTTTAGCAAATTCGTAATGAAATTTTTTATGTTTTGCAATTAAAAATTCTTCATCCATTGCTGTATACGACCATAACATGTCATCTGCATTTTTTTCAGTTTCTAATAGATCCAAGATTTTTTTATTAATTTCTTGTTTAGACATTTGCTTTTCATCTTCAACAGCTTCCGCAACATTTTCTTCCATATAAGAAATTCGCAGCCCTCTATTTTCATCTTCACTTTCATCCGAAGTATCGGCAAATCCATCACTGTAAATATCATCCGATTCGTATCCATCGATATCTGACTCACACGCAGGCGAACCGTATCGGACACCATTCCAGTTAAAATCGTTTGGCAAAACAGTTACATCTAAATCGTCTGTGGCAAATTCCATAGAATTCGTTGCCATATCGTTTGACCAAATACCAATTTCTAATTCATTTTCATTGTTTGATACTTGTGATTCAGTTTCTACTGCATTCTCTAACTGAACGTCACATTTTTGTTCGCTTAAGTTTTCAGTGCTAGATTTATCCAAATTACATGTTGTATTCTCAACTATATTTTGACATTTATTGTCAATCGCATTATTTAAAGGACTTATTTGGGTTATTTCATATTTAGCAGACTTGGATTTTTCATTTTCTTTGGATTTTTTTAAAACGTCTGCTAAACTCCATCCGAAGTCTAACGTCGGCCATTCAAAATCTAGAATTTCTTTACATCAGTAATTTAAAGGCAATATTATAACTAACAATTTTTTTATTTCATACATACCGGAATCTAAATTTGCTTTTCCTAAATTTATCATTTGTGCGACTTGACATCGTATTTGATTAGCAAGTAATAAGGCATTGATTCTATACAAAATACAAGGTAAACAAACTGCTTGTCTCCATAAGGAAGCTGGGAAAGGATGAATTGCACATAATTCAGCAACAAGTATTTGCTTCTCTTCTAAATTTTCTCGTTTTGCACGTTTTGTTTCTTCACTACTCGTAGGCAAAGCAACGCCTTTTCGATTAACATATCTAAGATAGATACAATTTTTAATGAATGTTTAAATACGATTGTAAGTATTAGATTGTAAATATTACATTTGTCATACTTACCTAGGTGTTAAGAAATTTAATCTAGCTGATGTATGGTCCACATCGAGCAAAGGTTGATCTACATTTTGTATTTGTATACCATACTTTTTAAGATAATATTCTTCAAATGTACCATAACCATCACCAGGGAAAGAGGACTTGGGATTTATATTTGTACAAATTTCAGCAACATAGAAATACTAAAATGAATCAAAGTATATTACATTAAAATATTATATACACATTATGTGTATTATTTACCATATAAATGCTAAATGGTTCTTTAGAATACTGTATATATTCTTATTATTA